GGCAATATGAAAGGCAATATAAACATTAATAAACATTAATAAAGGCAATACGAAAAAAAGTCGACAGGAGAAGAATATTGGAGATAAAACCCGAGTGTTCTGTAAAGGGCAAGAATTAGAGATGGTGACAGCCAGAAGTAGCTGGACACGATTATATAAAACGACAGAAAGCTCGACCTAGAAATTGCAAATAGGACAAAAATATCGAGAATATTCTATGCCATAAATAATAGATATTAGGAAAAAAGTGAATCAACCAGGACACTAAATTGGATGTATATATCCCAATCACAATACCAATGGATTACAAATAAAAATGAATTATTTAAATGAAGTAAAAGAACAAAATGAAGTTATTTAAAAAAAACTGGAAAGACGAAGTTGGACAGGGAAATAAATAAAAAGATCAGAAACGAGGTAAACAGAAACAAATAGAGAACAAAAAGAAAAAAGATAACTAAACCGGTATTGACACATAATTGTAATGGACGAGAACAGACTAATAAAAAATAACAGGCCAAAAAAACAAGGAAGGAGTAGGCCTAGAACGGGGTGGATGGAACAAATCCAGGAAGCCAAGAAACCATCGAAACCAAGAGAGGGAAAAAATGAAGGAAATGACAGAAGATCCAAAGGCGTGTAAGAAATTGGTAAAAGATGGATACATGCCAACAATATCAGATAGTATTATAGGGCACAAGAAATGCGAGAAGAAAAGAAAATTTTCGATCAAAGTTAAATTAGGTTGAAATAGTTAAATCACTTGAGATTCATTATTGAATTTAAAATTTGAAGGAATTCTATCTTGTTTTATTCCTTTATCCATTAGATATACTTCTCCCAGTTAATGAGACCAATTGACTTTACCGTCAAAGAGCTATTGTGCATGATAGATCTGGTGTACGTATTTGACATTAAATTCCAGTTCATTTGACTGACATTTGTGAAGGGAGTTTTGTACTAAATTTTTGAAACACTTCAAACCTAGACGTGTTACATTTTATTTGATTGTAGCCGGCAGTCTTATACTCTATCTAGCGTTTTCTAAAATTATTTTTCTTAGACACTCAAAAGCAAAGATGTTTTAAAAATAAATTCAACATATTTTAATCTCCATAGACCGATTAGACTAATAATTTGCACATTTTTTTTTGATAAATAGTAAATGCGAAAAATTTTAGACAAAACTGTGAGGGTCGGATTCCTAACTTACCACACTTATCGCGGAATTAATCACATGCTATTTTAAATTTTGCAATAATTCTTACGGTTAGCATTATCCAAATGCATTGATAATGGAAAATGACATTACCCATTAAAGTTAATCTAATATGAAGTACAGTATTTTGTTTAGTTATCAAAGACTTTAAATTGGCAATGTCACTACTACATTATAACCTCAGAATATTTTAAAACTTAGCCTATAAAATTTAAACCTAAAAGTCAGATTTCACCATAGGAATATAATATCTAAATTGCTTGTTAAAATCTAAAACCGTTCCTCAGTGTGACAGAGAAAAAAGATAAGAGAAATTCTTGCATCTTTTTCTAATAGACGGGGTTTATCGACCACGTGACCTTCCCACTACCAAATAATCTTCAAACACAAGTGTGGTAGTCACTTAAATATTTGACGTAACAGAGAGAGGCAGCGACATTGTATTGTGTCTTTTTGTAAAAATTTAATATTATTGAATATTACGTTTATTAAATCTTTAAGTAAATCTTGCACATAATAAATGTGTGTATATATCTTTTAAAATGTAAAAGGCAACCGAAGTTATTATTATTAAATGTATATACAACGTAGGTAATCATAATGATTTGGTTGACATTATTATATCATTAATTATAATAAGCAGTGTAGCGCAATACTTTGTTTACATTGGTTTAATGGTTTAATTGTTAATACATTGTTGTAACATTTTCATATTATCATATATTATCATAATTCATATTAGTTCTTTATTTTTTGCCAAATTGCAGTTCTATACATACTTGAAAACTAAATATATGTGTAAAAAAAAACTTTTTCTAAAAATAATTTGGCATTGGACGAGTTTATTGAATAAATTGGACAAGTTTGTTGATCGAGAGAGACGAATTAGTAATATGGCGGAGAAAATATTTGCAAAAATTCGTGATTTTAGACGACTTGGTAAAAAAATTTATTATACAGACGAAACGTGGTTGAATGAGGGTCATACGAAATCCAAAGTATGGCAAGACTTGAATATTAAAAGTGCGCGACAGGCTTTCATTATTATGAACCAGAAGTATATTCGTAACATTTCACTATTATAAGGGAAGAAAGTTTTGGATTTAAAATATATTATAATTTAGTACCTCGACACCGTAAGATACAAGAGGACGGCTTAAGTAAGTAAGTAAAATTTAACATTTGAGATGTTGTAAAATAAACATGTACATATTTCTTGAACTAAAAATAAGATAAACGACTGAAAATATTGTGTGTACATCTGGCTTACACAATTAATTGTTAAGACGTAATATTTTGAATACAATATTTTTACATAACATTTTAACAAAATACATTTAACATAAATTAACAATTTGTCCGTTGACGCAAACATATTTTTATGTGCAAGTTCCGTTTTATTTCCCTTATTTTAAAAATATATACGCCACCATTGAACTACACGCGTCTCCAATCTCGGACCCCTTGAGGGTCTATCATTTCCAAGCGATAACCTGACTATCCTATTGAATTCCGACTATAGATTGCAACGCGTGGTCTTAGGGATTATGTGTCTATGGATTTCACCAATTAAATTTTTAAAATTTTGGCTAATAATACTTTTATCACGTTTTAATGAAATTAAATATAAATATATACCTTATTTAATATAAATAGATGATATAGAACATATTTTCAAACAATATATTCAACAACAAAAGTTGACAAGTTTGATTATATATGATGATTAGATTTTGTCGATTTCACGTCGAGAACAAAATTGTATTTAGTTTTTAGATTATAGTAACAAATGTACTCATGTACAAAATATCTTATTTAAAACTCGTAAAAACATATTTTGCTTAAATTGGAACATAAATTTGCATCTGGTTATTTTTTTATCATGAATAATCCTTCCATATATGACACGAGCTTAATATGTACAATCTATTCAAAGTAAATAAGGTATATCTAATAGATATCTATAGAACCATCGAAAAAGGCGCAGTTAGAGTGGTTTATGAAATAAAAACGCGGCTTGGGATTTAAGCCACCTGCACAGACTGACATATAAAACCTAACTTATTTGTTTACCGTCTTTTTAATAGAAATTTGAATATTGTCCGTTCTTTCAGCGTGGAAATATTTTGATAGGTTCATTGCCGCATACATGCAAGAAAAATTCCTAAATCTCATTATTAATAACTCAAATAAACTCACTGTTCCAGACTTCTTTCATTGAAAAAAGAAGGATAAATAAGAAGAAGAATAATAAATAATGGAAGTTTATATTCATTAATTTTTATTAAAAACTTTCAATTTGTAAATACTAAATCTAAATAAATAAATATAAATACTAAAATTTTTGTTTTAATTGCTGCAGTTTTATGTTGTTAATAAACTGCATGTAAATAATTTTTTGTTTAAATATTGACTATTCGTACGTATGCTTGGTTGTATAATAATTTCCAGCCACTGCCAGTTGGTCACAATATACTACCTAAGTTTGAGGCTTATAAAACCTTTCCAAACATTTCTAGTTCATGTGTATGTGTCCCATAAGAAGTTGGAAATATTGTTTTTTTGTCTGAATAGTAAAAAAGGACTTTTGTTTATGAACATTCATTCTGTGCGATTGGTATTATTTGTTGTTCGTGAATTTATGAGGTAAGAATATCAAATTATTAAGATATTTACTCTTAAGGTTAATGTTGTAAGTTATGTTATTGTTGGATTTATTTTAATTATTTTTTTAATGTATTTCAAGGTATTTTGTTGTTGTTTTTATCAGTTATTTCGGTTTTCAGTTTATTAGTTATTTCAAAATAAATCATTGAATTTATTTACGAAGTTGAAAAATATTTAATGTTTTATTTCTTTTTTCGTTGCCAGTGATTTTATCCTGTAAAAGACTAAAGCCATTCGTTTTCTCGTAGTTCAAGTTGTGGATAAGGACTTTTAGTTGTAATATAGCATTAGGTGGAAACCTTTCTATCAAACTGCCATAGTGAGTGTTTAAAAAAATGTTTTTATTTTTTAGATCTAGGCATATAATGGCTAGTAAACATGTGTTGAAGATATCCAGTATTACTGAATTTTTCAGTAATGAGAACAAAACTACTATTAACTGCATAAACTACAATAAAACGAATATATTTAGACTTTTACGGGATAAAATCACTAGCACCTAAAAAGGAATAAAACATTAATTTAATAATTTTTCAACTTCGTAAATAAATTCAATGATTTTTTGATTAATTTTGAAATAAACTCAATAAAAACAATAAAAAAATACCTAGAAATACAGTGAAAAATAATTAATTAAGTTGAGTAAATATTTATGATAACAGATATCTGAGATAATAAATATGAAACATTTTTTCTGCGGTGTACAGATTCTTGGCAAATTGATTTTTTTTGCGTTTTTACCCCCTGTGGGTGTTTTAGGGGAAGCCCGAGGGTAAAAGTGATAAACTTTTTTGCCTCTTTTTTGGGGTCCAAAAATTAATATTCTCTGCAAAATTCAGCTTGTTTGTATGATTTTTAGGGGTTATCTCTCTGACGACTGAACTAAACTTCATATAGGATAAATACACACATGGGAATTAGAAATGTTTCGAAAGGTTTTCTAAGCCCCGCTCATTGTGACGTCAGAACTTAGGCAGTCCATTTAACCAATGTAAATTTATTAGACAGTTAGGACTGAGATCAACGAACCGAGTATACAATATTTTTATAAACAACGTTTATATTGACAACGCTAATGACAAATATCACGCAATTAATTACTATTTTTTTTTTTCGATGGCTCTTTAGAATTCATTTGACACTTCAGCATTTTTTACTTTATTGTAAACAGTTAATGATGTCAGTAAAGTCGATAATATTTAAAAAACTTAAATAATAAAAGATCTTAAATATTGTAATCCACTAAAATATCAAATAAATCAAATGTCACTAATACTAATGTTATCCCTTTATTATAAGGTAGTTGACGTCACCGTGCTAACACCATGAACAAAGATAGTGGGCGGCAGATTTCTCGAAAATATTTCTAAATTGTTGTAAAAAGAAACTAGTTTGGTATTATCTGTCGGCGGTGCTGGAAGATATATGAAAGTGACAGCTGTTTCTGCTGTCTGTTGAAGAATTAAGGTATTGACACTAAAATAAAACATATAATCATTATATAATTCGTTGAAAATCGTTTCAAATAAAATGAAAATCTTAAACTTTTCTTGATATGAGTTTATTGGAGTTTTTTATCCATTTATAAACCAACCAACTTGTATCGGTAAACGAGAAACGATACAACACTTCGATTGAACGAATATAAACTACTAGTACTGAGTGACTGGTTTAATTGAGCAGTGCAAAATTGTTTACGACGCTAGTCCACTCGTTCTATAAAAAGGATGTACCGGGTTTCTCATTATATTAACCCCACTTATTTTCCTTAATTTCGGGAATACAAAAAAAGTTTTAAATAAAAGTTCTATGATTTTATCTGTACCGATCAACAATGTAGCAACAGACCAAATTTTGTATACAGGGACTGCCCAATAAAATGCATCTTCAATATTTCAAATGGGACACCATGTATTTTTTTCATAGTTGTGAGTAGCCCTGCATTTCCTGGTTACCAATATATAACATTGTGTAGCATTAGTTTTGTTCTATAATGGCATATGGTAGTACAAATGGGTAACCATAGGTGGCTATGCAACTGACATTTCAAAATGAAACAATTATTATTAATTTATTATAAACTGTCACACCTCATACCGAAATGGGTTATACTGCAGATGAAAAAGTAGATATATTCTCAATTTATGTAAAAAATAATAAAAACAAGTAATCGGCAAGAAGAGAATATAGGCTGATTTATCCAGATCAACTCTTTATGCAAATACATTTTTATATAATTATCGTCATGTCATAAATGAAAAAATGTTTGAACGGAAGAAACGTACTATCGTTGGAAATGATGATAAAGATCTTAATAGTTTGCTTTACTTTAAAGGTAAAAATTAAATACTTGATAATATAATAGATTAAATCCATAATAACATTTTTATTTTAGAAAATTCCGAAGCTAGTCTAAACAATGCTACTAAAGCTGGATTTATAGTTTGACTGTAGACGCAGACCATTGGAAAAAATCAACATAGAATTTTGTGTACTCTTATTTATAAATGAACGTAAATGCTTGACGGAACGTAAGTGAAATGCACTGCAACGGAAGAGTTGGCCAACTTTCATCTTTTACAGTGCGTTACTTGCGTCAGGCCAATCAAAAGGAAGAATTTTGTGCTGTCAACCAAAGTGAACTGCCTGTCCCGCCCACCATTTTGTAAAGTTGCTTATTAACATATTCGAATTTTGATTTTGTTGATTATTTGTTACCATGGACGTTAGGAATTTATAAAACAATAATAATAAATAATAAAATGATATTATAGTATCATGGTCACCAACTCTAGCCACTGTTTCTACTCATGCACAAAAATTCCACTCCGTCGATTTATAAATTTAAATTATATTTACAGTCCGTTTGTTACGTCTCCAGTGCGTCTACGTCTACAGTCCGTCAAACTATAAATCCAGCTTAATCCATTAGAGAAAAGCCAAGCGAAGATACATAGTGTTTTAAAAAAGCACAACTATAAGCCGTACAAAACCGGTATAAGAACTTCGTAATGTTCATAAGGGAAAGCGTTTACAGTTCTGTCAAGACATGCTTAAAAATTTGAACAATGATTCTAATTATTTTTATAACATTTTATGGCCAGATGAATCCAATTTTTCAACTTCAGGCATTTTTAATAGAATAAATAGGTATTCGTGGGAACAGAAAAATAATAGAAAAAGAAAAATTAAGCAAATAAAAAAGTCAGGAAGAAAATCAATAAATGTGTGGTGCGGAATATTTCAAAACAAAATAGTTGGACCATTGTTTTATGATTATAAATTAACTGGGGAATCATATTTGGACAGTCATTATAAAAGTGGATGAGTTATTAAATCACAATTATACACAAAATCAATTAAATAGTATAATATGGCAACAAGATGGAGCACCGCCACATAATGTCGTAGCCTTTTAACAACATTTAAATAATCAATTTAATGTGTGGATCGGCAATAAGGCTTATTGTGACCATTATATGGCCACAAAATAGTCCCGGCTTAACACCATGTGATAGCTTTTTATGGTGGTTTTTAAAAGAAAAAGTGTATTTTGATTCAAATACAAATATTAACACTATCACGGCAAAAGTTCGCGCGGAAATTGAAAATTTAAATGGTCACAATAACACAATATCTGACGCATTAGAAAATTTGAGATGAAGATATTACTTGTGCATTGATAACAATGGAGGGCACTTTGAGCATCTAGTCATTAAGTAATTAATTTTGTTGACTTTCTAAATATATTTTTTTCTTATCGTAGTATAGTATAGTAGTACTATACGGCATTATAGAACAAAACTAATGCTACCCTATGTTATATATTTGTAATCAGGAAATGCAGGGCTACTCAAAACTATAAAAAAATACAGGCTATCCCATTTGAAATATTGAAGATGCATTTTATTGGGCACTTCCTGTATACAAAATTTGGTCTGTTGCTACACTGTTGGTCGGTACAGATTAAATAATACAACTTTTATTTATAACTTTTTTTTGTATTCCCGAAATTAAGGAAAATAAGTGGGGGTCAAAATATAATGAGAAACCCTGTACATCATAACGTAAATTAGTCATAAAGATCTAAATACATTGCGTACAGCAAACAAACGTCCTAGTGTATCATTACTTACACTATATACACTAGACAAAAATTTTCATTTCCATCTCGGACATCTCGCAACTCTAACTGGAGACTACAGGTAAAGTTTGTTTGGCAGAAAATGGTTGACTTCAATTAGTGCGGTCGTAAATATTATTAAATTTATCTGACTGGTCCCATTGTTAAGACCTTGTACCTCAGGTAAACCATTGTTACCTGAAACCGGGTTTTTTATACTATTATCGGTTAACCCAGGATGTTTATAGTCGGCTCTAATTGACGTCAACCATTTACTGCTAAACAAACTTTACATAATATAATACAATGAGCTGTTTAGTATCTCTTACCTCTTCGCGTATCGATCCTCTTCCGTACCGTGTGATTCAAGTACTGTCTTCCAACCATCTACCCTGAAAAGTTCTGCCTCTATTCTCAATTTTTTTAACAGAGTTTCCAGTCGTTCAGAATGGCTCAGTGATATGGATGATGTAAAATAGCTGGACCGAGCTTCGTCACAAATACATATTCTATGGAAATATGGTAATAAATATTAAAAAAAAACATTTATTATTTGTCAAAAAAAAAAGAATCAATGCTGATTGAAACCTGTCTCCGCATAAACCCATAAATAGTGAGACTAATAAGTTTTATCAGTTTAAAGAGTCGTCTGTATTGACTGTACTGGCAAAGTAAAGCCGCGTTGACATGGATAGTGAATCAAGAACGTGAGCCAAAGCCACGATCCGTGTAAACAAGAAGTCTTCTTCTTCTTCAAGTGCCCTGTCCGTTGCGAACGTTGGCTATTAACATTGCAATTTTGATCTTGTTTGCGGCGCTTCTGAATAGTTCGACCGATGTGAGCCCGAACCACTTCCGCAGATTTTGGAGCCACGAGTGTCTTCTCCTAAACAAGAACAAGAAGTACATTCGGGAAATAAGTGCAAGCTCGAGCGGTGCAAGGTCGAGATCAACACCCACTTTAAATTATGTCGCATGATGTGTGTTTATAATAAGTAATGAGTTTCCTTTATTTTTATTTCGTTTATTATTAGTTTATTAGGTATTTGGGGCAGTGGGCACAGTTTTGTTGTTAATATTGTTTTGTAGTTAATAAAATTAGATCAAAAAATGTCACCATCCAAAAGCAATATTTTGTTGCTTTTTAATAAACTTAATAAAGAGCAATGTTGTTGAAATTTTTGCATCAAAATTTAATAATTGAATTGATTCAAAGAATTACTTTCTTTAAATGTAGTTATATTGGGTTTTTCGATTAACCTTGGGTACACCTGTGCGTGTTAAGTTCAAAGCTACCATACATTTCCAACGGTAAAAAACTTTTTTTTTCACATATTAACAAAAAACCACTATGTTGTTACTAGCTAAGTTTTTTAACATTCTAACTCTACAATTCTAAGTTACGGTAAGATCACCAGTGTTTTTTAAAAGATAATATATGGTAGCTAATTATAATTTCTTCTCTTTCAGCCCTGAAGAAGCCAAATTAATTCTCTTTGGCGAAAACGTTCGGCGAAACAATTGATACTCATTAGAGTCTTTCTTGCAGATTTCCCCAATATTTAAGAGAATACTATATATATATATATATATATATATATATATATATATATATATGTATATATATATATATATATATATATATATATATATGTATATATATATATATATATATATATATATATATATATATATATATAAACTTGCGTGCATAGAAATCGGCCCACTGTAAACTTTTGACTTTAACTATATTTTTTTCAAGAAATATTCATCAGATCACAAAAACAAATATACTGTTTGAAAGACAATTTAATATGCTTTAATGTGAGTATAAATTTATGAAAACTTATTTCGGCTTCCTATGTTTAACATAGTGAAATGAATTCATTAAGCAAATTAAGCTTTTTTATTATTAACATAAATAGGGTTATTGACAATTTAAAACTTAACACTTAATTTTTTAATAATGGGTATGACCTCCTCTTGCCCTAATAACATCTCTCATACGATTAGGCATAGATCTAATCAAGTTTGCTATTGTTGCTTGTGGGATGTTAAGCCACTCTTCTTCTGCTGCAAGAATAAGCTCTGGGATCGAGTCTGGGGTATGAAGTCTAGCTCGAATTCTTCGTTTTAGCTCATCCCATAAATGTTCGATCGGATTTAGGTCAGGACTGTTTGCTGGCCAGTCTATAACCTGAAAACCGACTTCTGCAATGTAATCTTGCACGATTCTTGCGGTGTGTGCCCTTGCATTGTCATGCATAAAGATAAATTCGTCTCCAATGTAGTCGACGTAAGGTACCACATGAATTGCTAAAATCTCCTCGATATATCTGGCAGCCGTTAAACCTCTTCTTCCGTGAACACGGTCGTCCCTACGAATGAACTCAAGATCGGTTCGTGCTCCTATAGAAATTGCACCCCAGATCATGCAGGAACCACCCCCATAAGCACTCCGCTCTTCAAAGTAGCATTCTGCAAATCTCTCTCCTGGTCTCCGGTACACTTTCCTTCTTCGGTCGCTACCATAGAGGCATATTTTGGTCTCATCTGAGAACAGAACAGATCCCCATTGTTCCAACGTCCAATTCCGATGATCCTGTGCAAAACGCAGGCGTGCTTGCCGATGAGCTGGAGTAAGTTTTGGACCAATCGCAGGTATTTTAGGGGTCAGGTTATTTTCCCGCAGTCTTCGTCTCACTGTCCACTGACTAACAGCCACTCTTCGCACCTCACGGAGCTGTCGTTGCACCTGAACGGCATTAAGGTGACGATTTCTTAATGTTGTTGACACAATAAAGCGGTCATCACGAGCGGTTGTAAATCGCCGTCTGCCTGTTCCAGGTCGCCTATGAAAGGATCCAGTCTCCTCATAACGTTGGCACACTCTTCGAACCGCTGCGCGTGTCATATCCAATTGTCTAGCAACAGCTCGCTGACTAAGTCCATTTTCGATTAGAGCAATAACTTGGGCGGCTTTTTGTGGTGTAGTATGCATTAAACTAACACACTTGAACACTGCTGAGATTATGAAAAACGAATAATATGCAAATTTTACTTGCAAAGGCAATACTTTTACAATTAGACAAATTTGTTATTTTCGTGACAATCACCAAATAAACACGTTTCATTTGTTTACCGGTTACTACGCATGTAAACGATAAGCCTTCTTGATAAATTTATACTCACATTAAAGCATATTAAATTGTCTTTCAAACAGTATATTTGTTTTTGTGATCTGATGAATATTTCTTGAAAAAAATATAGTTAAAGTCAAAAGTTTACAGTGGGCCGATTTCTATGCACGCAAGTGTATATATATATATATATATATATATATAATATATATATATATATATATATATATATTTATATATATATGTTCGGAAAGATTTCCGCGGTTAGTACAATAAAAGTGATCAGTAGTGATCGTGCCGTGAATAGTGAACAGTGTAGTAGTGTCTGGGGGCTCGGGAGACCTCGGAAGCCCTGAGGAAGACATCAGAGAGGATGCCGAAAGCTTGGCAAAATGGATTACGACGCGGTTCAACCCGGAAGACTGGTGAGTTTAATATTAATTTTAGTAATAATATTAATCTTAGCTCTAGGTTTTATATATATATATACCACATAATATCAAAAAGAAACGTAGGTAGCTTAAAAAATAAAGTTAAAATTGTGGAACAGGATAATGCCATGAAACGAAGTAATATGAAAAGTTTTTTTCCGTTTTTTTTTCATTTTTGTTTTCTCCCTTAAATCAATCTTAAAAAAGCATTTTTTCAATACGTGAACATAAAATAACTTTACCTACATCTTATTGATGTTTTTATTGTGCGTTATTTTCCCTTGTACCGTTATGTAAGTATATTTACAATACATTTGTATTAAATTTGTTTCATTATAGGCTTAGTATTGGCATAATTCATACTTTTACAATCTATAACAATATTGTAGCATTCTTTTCTATTTTTTAGTGGTTGTAAGCGTAGACCTAATGATGGGCTGAATTTGTAGAGCCCGAAACCGATCGACTTAGTTACAATAAATCCAATTGTGAGTAAGTCTTTTTCTTTTTACTTTTTATCATTTGAAAATGGACTCACATTTGCTTAACATAAAAACACTTAGAAGGAAGTATTGGTACCACGGTGGGTAATATAAATTGTACGAACACGAAGATTATCTATGTGGATTAATACATCTATTTATTGAAAAAATTTAATACTAGTTGTTTTACCTTAATTTTAATTTTTTCCATACTGGTACCATGTTGACAATACAAGCCAATTGCATCATAAACAATGACGTAGTGTCAAACGAATCGTTTTCCCCTGGATTTAAGAAGTTGACAGGCCATACGTCGATGTACATTTTGTTTCTGACACTGTAGATATAAAAAAGTATTAGTTACACAAAGAAAAATCAATTTACTATTAGTGAAATTTAATATAAAAAGAGAAAAAGGTTATAACTTTATAATAGCTACTTAAAAGTTCACAAGCTATACTTATTTCAATTTAATTTTCAAATTTTTAAGTGATGGTGATAATATTGAGGCATTTATTCTTCTGCTAGTGCCTATCCTCTATGGATGTCTACCACAATGGTCCATCGTATTTTATTAGCAGCTGTTCGAAATTGGTTTGTGGTGGTCACACCTGTCCACTGTCTCAAATTCTTAAGCCAGGATATTCGGTGGCGTCCTGGTCCTCTACGTCCTTCTATTTTCCCTTCTAATATCAATAGTCATCATCATCAATCAGCCAATCGCGTCCACTGCTGGACATAGGCCTCCCTCAGTTCTTTCCAGTGTTCTCTACATTGGGCCGCTTGTAGCCAGTTTCCCGCTACACGTTTAATGTCATCGGTCCATCTAGTCGGTGGTCGTCCTCGGCTTCTTTTATAATTTCTGGGCCTCCATTCCATAATACGTCTTGTCCACCGTCCATCTTGTGTTCTGGCTAAGTGCCCTGCCCAGTTCCACTTAAGCGTAGTGGTTCTTTCGATGACGTCTTGAACTCCTGATCTTCGCCTGATTTGTTGGTTTGTTATGTGGTCTCGAAGGCTCACGTTCAGCATTGCACGTTCCATGGCTCGTTGTGTAACTCTAAGTTTATTCGCAGATTTTTGCGTGAGTGTTAAAGTCTCTGCTCCATAAGTTTGTACAGGTAAAACACATTGGTTATAAACCTTTCGCTTGAGACACATGGGAATTGAACTTTTTAGAATATGGCTTAATTTGCCAAATGCTGCCCATGTTAGACCTATTCGCCTCTGTATTTCATGTGTTTGATTGTCTCTGCTTATTTTGATTTCGTGTCCCAGATATTTGTAAGTGTCTGTTTGTTGTATGGTATTATTGTCAATAGTTATATTTCCACTCATTACGAGATTTGTTATAATTTTAGTTTTCTCAAAGTTTATCTTTAATCCTGCTCTTTCAGACAGACTTTTAAGCGAATGCATCATAGAAACTGTATCATGTAAGTTATCTGCGATTAATACAACATCATCTGCAAACCTTAGGTGATTTAATCTTTCTCCATCTATATTGATGCCCGTATCTTGCCATTGAGTACCCTTAAATATTGACTCTAGAGCTGCCGTGAACAATTTTGGTGAAATATTGTCTCCTTGTCTAACTCCTCGACCTAAGCTGAATTTTTCTGTGTCTTCGTGCAGTCGTATACTTGATGTAGCGTTCTGATAGATGTTTTTGATTAGTGTCGTGTACCTGTAATCTATTCGGCTTTGATTTAGGGCTTCCAGTATTGTTTCAAACTCTACAGAATCAAAAGCCTTCTCGTAATCGACAAATGCAAGAACCAGTGGTATGTTGTACTCGATGCACTTTTCTATTAAGATCTTTATGGTATGCAAATGGTCATTTGTGCCATATCCTGCCCTAAAGCCTGCCTGTTCTTTGGGCTGATAGAAATCAAGTTTAGGTGTTAGCCTCTTTGTTAAGATTTTCATAAAGAGTTTGTACATATGTGTCAAGAGGCTGATGGGTCTATAATTTTCTAATTTAGTAATATCGCCTTTTTTGTGTAACAAGACTATTACTGCATTGTTCCAGTCTTTTGGAATCGTACCCGCATGTAAGCATTTAGTAAACAGTTCGCTTACTGATTTTAATAAAATTTCTCCACCTGCTTTTATTGCCTCGATAACGAGTCCATCATCACCAGGCGATCGATGGTTCTTCATTTCCTTTAAAGCTGCTCTTACTTCTGACACAGTAATGGGTAAAAGTATTTCCGATCCCTGATTTATGAGAGTCTTTACTTGTGTCGGGAAATTGTCTTGTGGTCTTTGGCTGGTATAGAGGTCTTTATAAAATTCTCTAGTTATTTTCAGAATGTTTTGTTTATCTGTTGTTGCCTTTCCGTCTTTATCTCTCAGCTTGTATATTTCTTTTTTACTTTGCGTAAGTTTTCTTTTCATTATCTTTAAACCTTTGTTCTCTTCTACTGTTTGAGTAATTACATTAGTATTATATCTTCTTACATCTTTTCTAATTTCCGCTGAAATTCTTTTATTTAGTTTTTTATATTCTTCTTTGTTTCCCTTTTCGTTCTCGCTTAGGTTTCGTCGTAATTCCATGAGAGCCCTTGTATCTTTGCTAATCTTTGCACTTTTGGTGTCATTTTTCTTGCAAAATTTGAGTTGTGCGTTTCTAACTGAGTCTGTTATTAATTTATTGTGATCGTCGATACTTAGAGGTTTGGGATTATTACTCTGTAAAGTTTCGGCTATATTTCTTATATATGCTTCTGGATGATTTGGTGAATTCCAAACTATGCGTTTACAACTGTTTATCATCTTTGCTCTTTCTTTTTGTAGATTGATCGTTACTCTAGCTCTTACTGGTCTGTGGTCGCTTCCTACTGATAGTTTATTGAGTACAGTGACATCTTGAATAATTTGCTTTTTGTCTGTTATTATATAATCATATTCGCTCTTAGTTCTTCCGTCTGGACTAGCCCACGTCCATTTTCTATTCTGTTTCTTTTTAAAAAAGGTGTTCATTGCATACAGTTTGTGTTGCAGTAGAAAGTTGGTAAGCATTTCGCCTCTTTCGTTTCTTACTCCGATTCCAAAATCTCCGATTGCCACTTCTTGTTCGTCTTTTTTCCTTCCGAGTTTCCCGTTAAAATCTCCCATTATCAGATTGTAATGAGCCGGTTCCTGCTTTTTTGCTCTTTCGATTTCCTCATAGAAGGCTTCGACAATTTCATCTTCGTAATCGCTGGTGGGGGCGTATACCTGGATTATTTTCAGATTGTATCTCTTATTTAGTCTTAGATTTATATACATAACTCTTGGGGAAATGCAGTCAATGCTTGTATATTTTTCTGTAATTTTCTTGTGTACTAATAAACCTATTCCTCCAGTTGTCGATTCCGTTTCCCCTTTATAGTGGAATATGTTTCCTGATTTTAGTTTGACCTGATCTTCACCTCTTCTTTTGACTTCGCTAATTCCTATAATATCCCATTTCACATGTTTGAGTTCTTCCTCCAGTTCTGTCATTTTTTCATCCTTAGATAAAGTTCTTACATTATACGTAATTATGTGCAACGTTCGTCGTTCTTGGTAGCCTCTTACATCCCGGGGATTCTTCGCCCCCTCTACCCGCTGTCCGTGAGTCCTACCGCTACCTTGGTCGGGAACTAGCGAGCTGCCGGGGACTGAGGGCCGTTTTCTTGAATGTCTATTCATGCTGAGGGGGTTTTGGCATTTAAACACCACGCTTGCCAGGCGGGTTGGTGAGTTGGTTTGGGAAATTGGTAGGATAGTAGGTATTGGGTAGGAATGGGGTTAGGACATGATTTCTCTCCACAGGAGTTGAGAGAGAATCAAGGCTCGCGTAAGGCAGGATCGCATCCCTGAAGTAAGTCTATCCTCCACTGGGCTTGTGGAAGAGTACCTACCCGCTACCATACTACCATATCAATAGTAGGATTCTGTATTTATAATCATTTCTCACTATATGTCCGAAGTATGCTAAATTTCTCTCTTTAATCGATTTAAAGACTTCAGGTTCATTTTGTAAACGTTGCATTACCGCATCGTTATTACATAATTTTCGTCTTCTTACTATTAAGTTTCATTCCATATTTCCTACCGATGTTAACTACTTGATCTATCAGTTTTTGTAATCTTTCATCACTATCCGCAACAAGGACAGTGTCACTCACACAACAATCACGCCATCAGTCGTTTCTCCCAATGTCCTTAGTACTTCTTTTGATAATTAATATTATTTCCATTTCATTCCCTATCCTTCTAGTTACTTCTACGTTTGACATTCTTTGAATCCATGATATTCGTAGGATTGATTCTTCTGTAACACCAAAATTCAAAGGCAGCCAACCTATATATATATATATATATATATATATATATATATATATATATATATATATATATTAATTTGTTTTAGTGTCCACACTTTTAAGCCGTAAAGAAGAGTACAAAACACTTAACACCTAAGCATCCTTAAGCGGAGTTTACATTGGTATAGTTACTTGCACCAGTTACTTGTACAAGTATATCCAGGACAGTTCACATACGCAAGTTGACATGCTAGTAAGTGTTTACACATAAAAATATTATTCATTTACCAGTTCCCGACGAGCACCAGATGCGTAAAGATGAAACCTTTCCATTGCCGGCGCCGTGCTTTGTGCAATAATTCAAAATTAATAATTAAAAATCGCATTAAAAAAATTATGTTGCGTATATCGAGAATTTTAATTGAAGAAGCTGTTAATTTGATTGAAGAAGAAAAATGTCGTCCAAAAAGGATATGGGTTCGAAGGTGGATTGATAGAAGAACTACAAGAGGGGCATCCACTCTTCTTTTAAAAGAACTTCGTATGGAAGATCCTGAAGAATATAAATTATGCCTTCGGTTGACACCGAGTAAATTCAAATACTTGCTAAATATGGTTCTGCCTAGAATTCAAAGAAGTGACACACTTTTAAGAGACGCATTACCAGCGCACGTTAAACTAGAAGTTACCCTCAATTTTTTGGCAACAGGAAATAGCTATAGAACTCTTCAACATTTTTTTAGAGTTCCAAAAACATCAATATCTAAGTTTGTACCAGAAGTTTGCGACGCAATTTATGATGTACTGAGTGAATATATAAAGGTAAGTTAAACATTTTTTTTTTCTACAGTAAAACGTCGATTAACAGGACTAATTAAGACCAGAGGGATTCAGGATAACCAATCATGTTCTTATTGTATAGAGAGTAATATTTACTTAATTTTTCAAGTATCTTAGATAGTACTTATACTGATGCTGGTACTTATTATAATTTTTCAAAAATACTTATCCTTATTACTTAAGTATATTTATTTCGTACTTG